CCATCTAGGTCTGTGAAATTGAGTATTTTATTGTATTTGATGCTAATTATTTTATAAAAAGGAGTAGGCACAGAAAAGAAGTATTGATGAGATGAATCCTAAAAGCTCCAATCCCTCTGGAACATTCATAACAACATTAAACTGACTGACAAAGTGTTTGACTGAAATAGAAGATGCAATTTAAAGTTAAATGTAAATGCTGACAATAAACTGTTGAAAACTAGATCTTAAAGGTGAAGCATAATTAGAGATCTTATTTTTTCTAGCTTTCTGGAAATGGAATCTCTTTCTACCATCTCAGTCTATTGTTTGACTTTTGCATCTTTTAAGTCCATTTTCAAAACAGCGTTAAGTAAAAATTAAGGAAAGCAGGTAGTTGATGATGACAGCCACAAATCTTGGGTGTCACTCAAATGATTTCAAAAAATCATGAGCAGGCCTACGTGAAAAGGTTTCAGAGAGTATTGGGCATGACCAGTGAGAGTGAAAAGTTGGTCTCAGTATATTTTTAAAGACTCCGTGGACCCCTTTAGTAGACTATCCTGACGAAATCTACAGTTCTTCAAATGGACTTACTTCACAGGCAATACTGTGCCACTCTACAGGATTTGGGGTACAATTACAAGCAACAGACACCTGCCTGTCGTCAAGGGGGCTCACAGTCAAATAAAGCAAAAGGACCTGAGGTTCCCACGATCATACAGACACGGTGCCCAATAAGAAGGAAGAACAAAGTACTCAGGAAACACAGAAATGAGCACTGTTAATTTTGCCTGAGGAATCAGGGAAGCCTTCACAGGGGAGGTTGCCAACACTGACCCAGGAAGAGAAATAGAATTTCACCATCATTGTATAGGGGGAAAAGGGGCAGAAGCACAGAAAAAAAGCATGAGCCAAATTACAAAGGGATGAAACTGCCAAGTGCATTGAGAAACCGTGAGAAAGTCAGTATGGAAGATAAATCTGACATCAAAGTGTAGAGTGGGAGAACAGATTAGGGAAAAGCAGTACAATCCAACTCCACCACTTACTGGGTGACATGAGACCACCAGTTAGTGTCTCTGAGCTGCAGTGATCAGATGTCTTGTTGTTGGTTTTTAAGCTGCCCAGCACCTGAACCTATTTGTGAATCTCCCCGCTTATAAATCTTGCTCGGACACACAGAGCCCAAATGTCACTACATAAGTTGCAAAACCAGATGCTCTTTCCCAGACACCCTTGCAACTAGAGCATGAACATATAAAAGAGGCTCTATCAATTAAGAACACCAGTTCAGACTTTCAATCAGATGCTCGTGACAGAAGGAAAGGGGGGTGGGCTAAAGGAAGATTCTAGAAGTAGTATCAGCTGCAAGAGGATTACCTGGGCTCACGGAGCCAGCAATGTCCCAAGGTACAAATTATAACATCAAGTACTTGGCCATGGCTGGCAATGACCTCCTCAGTAGACCAGTTTTGGGACATGACTTTAATCACATTCCTGGCTAAGCAGCCCCTTGACTGACTCTCCAATCCTCCTGGAGTTTCTGTGAACAACATATCCTTCTAATCCCTAAAATCCTTCCAATAAATTCCTTTTTTCTATTTACATCAGCTAGAGTTGGCTCCTGCAGCTTACACCTAAGGACTCTGACTAATGCAGAGCCTCAGAGTTCTCATCTGGGAAATGGGGATAATCATCTCTGCTCCATAAGGTTGTTAAGCATTAAATGAAGATCCCCGGCTTACTTTGTACTCAGCAGTACAGAATCTCATTTAATGTTTGTGTTACATGTGTACAGATACAGGGTAGACACACACACACAAACACACACCGCCCACACACACCACACCTAGCAGTACCATGTTCTAGCTTCTAGAAAGCAAAAACAAAGCAAAGCAGTTTGCTCAGAGAAGCCTCAATATAGCACCACACATAATTAGATCTTTACCATCTCAACTCCAGGAAGATAAAATACATGTCCAGCTTACCTACCACTGTAATACTGTTGCACCAGAGTCTGGCAGACTGCCTATACCTCGTAGGTACATTATAAATATTTGCTGAATGAACAAATGAATAAACCACCGTACCTGCTTTTTTAAATCATTAAACTCTCCCTGATCCCTTTTCATATATAATAACAGCTAGTTACAGACCTTTTAACTTTTCACTGCCATTGTCAAGGTGCCCCACCTTCTAATACCTAAGGGAAAAAAAAGGCCTAGAATTTTCTTCTTGGAATGTGTCCAATGCTTCATGTAGGTAAGTTAACCCCAAAAAGCATGAAAATAACCCATTACAAAAGTTTAAATATTTGCTTCAAGATTACCGTCTGAAGTACCCCCGTTCTCCCCAAAAGCAGACAGACACTAGCCTGCAACAGTCTTTCAGGTAACAATCTTTCTGCTCTAAGGAAAAAATTCTAGTCACAAGCTCCAGCAACTACTTAATCAACACCATGACTTAAAAGAGTCTCAAGATTACACAGTATCCTCCGAAGAGTGATTTCTTGATGTTCGTAGATGACGTAGTTTTTAGGGTGAAGAAAGACACCCTAGTGGCAAATCACTGATGGACGGCTGCAAAGACTGTTCGCATACTCACATCCCACACCCCATTTGTAATCCAGGCTAGACGACTCTCCAAAATAAATTGTCTTAAAAACGAAAGGCTAGAAGAAATTGAAATCTGTGATTCACAACTAGGTGAATGCAAAGGAAGCTGATTAGAAAGCAAGTTCTCATTAATGGTGATGTATTTGAGTGACAGGTGATGGAGCTTGAGCTAAGAAAAGCGAAGCATCTGATTTTAAGTTAGAAGTTCACTGAAGTTAAGTCACACTAGATGAACACAGTTCAAGTATCAGAAATCACACAAAGCCAATTTACATTTTTGTATTCTATTTTTGGAAGTAAAAGATTACTACTGAAAACGGCGTCATATATATGACATCCCAAATGCTGCTGAGCTGATGCTTTGGGGGGGGGGGGGAACTTCACCAGAGACGACTAGATTGTGAATATTATTTCTATGCAGCACTTGAAGAAATTTCGACAGAATTTAAAGAAAAAATTGCTAACGCACAAAGTAGAAATCCATTACCTAAAAAGACAAATCCCATTTGTATCTTGCGGTGACAGCCCTTAGACCTTTCTCTCCTGCTGAGTTACAAGATATAAGCAATTTTCCTGGGAGCTTCTATAGAAAGGGCCCACATCCGTTCTGCCCTAGCCCTCAAGCAGATACTTGGGGCCAGAGTCCGGAGATACTTTGAAGCAAACCCGTGCCCCACCGGGGCCAGTCTGGATGAAGGTGTGCCCAGCACGTGGAACGCGCTCACCAAAAGAAATAAAAAGAAAATGCAGACTAGCGTGGACACCAGGAGTGACACAGGCCCTGCAGGGGGTGTGCTCTGGTTTGCCAGGTGCAAACGGTCCTAAAAGGAAGCACCACCCGATACCAACCAAAGGGGTCCTACCCGGGATGGCCGAGGTCCGCGCCCGAAAAGACCAGTACAGCGACCCGGATGCGCGCCTCTCTAAGACAAAATAAGAAACCACTCCAGAATCCCCACCACCTACAGTCATGCCACGGTCCCTACACTCCCAACTCAGGACCCCGCGCGCGGGGTCATCCCTCACCGCTTGACCCCAGCTCGCAGTCTTCACCGTGCACGAGCGCCATGGTTCCGAAGTCTCCCGATTCCGCGCCAACCAGCCCGAAACTGGCGCGGGGGCCGAGACAGGCGCCAGGCTGAAAGCCAATCAGAAGCTCCGGAGGCTGCGGACTTCCGCCCGGAAGGCCACTGACGTGCCGCGCCGCGCCGCGCCCCGCCCCCGGCCTTCCCGCGGACGCGAATTTGGCGCCCTGTTATGACCCCTCCGGGAAAAGCGCGAGTGAAGGGGAGGCCGAGGAGAACAGGAAAAAGAGGCGGCCGGGCGCTGGAAAGGAGCCGCCTGGAGACGCGCTGCGCAGGCGCACCCGTGCTGATGGGAAAAGATTTGGGCGCGATGCAGTAGGAGCTTTCTGGTTCTGAGAATTGATTTTCCGGGGAAAAAAGACGCGGGAGGGCAGTGGGATGGGCGTGGTTGGACCGGTTCCGCAGAGCCTTGAGAAAACGACTGCCTCCTGCTGCGCACTAGAAGTCTTGCCTGATAACTTGCCTTCTTAGCGTGAGAATAAGTCGCTGTGTGATTTATAGATACGTATATACATACATATAAAGCACTCTCTTACCCAAATGACCAAAAGAAGCATTGTCAATAAGGGGCAATCATATGCCTCTTGATGTGATGCCCTTGGAAAAGGGAACATCACCTATATAATCTTCTGGCAAAAGATGTTTAACCTGAATCTAATCATGAAAAGACGATCAGATGTATTCAAAGTGTAGGACAGTCTATAAAACATCTGGCCCAGACTCTTACAAAATATCAATGCTATGAAAGACAAAATGGCATTAGATCCTTGGGTATGGTACAACATATGTAATGTATGTATCTCATTCTATCTTTTTCCAAGTAGATACAACATTTTTATTAAATGATGCCTCCCACACATTTGTAATGTTTTTTCCTACACTTTTGCCCACATACTTGTTGATCTCTTCCTCATGTGACAATTTTATAGTATCATTTTTTCTGAAGAGGATATAAAGATCATTCAGTGTGTCCTCCAGCATGGTTGATCAATGTTTGTTTCTTAATTTCTGACTGTTTAGAAATTTTTCTTTCAGCTTTATAATATTATTTAATATCATGTTAAGATATGATCTATATTTTGTGATACATAACACATAATAATTCACACACTTAGTTCCACTCACTGTTTAAAGCACTAGTACATGTATGCCTCCACTTTCCCTTTAAAGAAGTTGTTGAACTTTTGATATTATCAGGTTTATTCCTAACAGAAGGGAACTATTTTGGCTAGGCATCAATAGGAACCAAATCTTTCCTTTACTACTTCACATGTCTGATCATTTTCCACATGCCGTGTTAGAACTCTAAGCATTTCAGGGGCGCCTGGGTGGCGCAGTCGGTTAAGTGTCTGACTTCAGCCAGGTCACAATCTCGCAGTCCGTGAGTTTGAGCCCCGCGTCAGGCTCTGGGCTGATGGCTCAGAGCCTGGAGCCTGTTTCTGATTCTGTGTCCCCCTCTCTCTCTGCCCCTCCCCCGTTCATGCTCTGTCTCTCTCTGTCCCAAAAATAAATAAACGCTGAAAAAAAAAATTAAAAAAAAAAAAAAAAGAACTCTAAGCATTTCAAATCTTGTTTCTTTTTCATGACCTTCAAATTTCCAGGAGCCAGGACACATAGGACACTTTCATACTATTATGTCACTTCTGGCCCTGCACATTCAGGTCAAAATTCCAAGTAAGCACCGTGGGGTAGGAATATTCCTGGAAGCTATTCCTATAACCAGAAGTCTATCAATAACTTAAGTATAATGAGAGTGCTTTCATCCAACATAGATGCCACTAACTCTAAATGCAGTGCAATACCAAATCAACTTTCCCATAGTAGAATCCCACAATGACTGTGCCCACTCTACCGCCACTACGAGGCAGTAAGGGATGTGTATCAAAGGGACAGGTGGTGATTCTCAAAAGCTGATTGTTGCATATTCAGGAATTTTATGATCTGCTTGTTAAACTATTAGTAGCTTGAAAGCAGCCATGGTATTTACACCATGGAAATGGGCAAATGCTACAAATCAGAAATCAGGCCTGTTTTTTGTTTTGTTTTGTTTTTTCCTTTGAGAGAGAGAGAGAGAGAGAGAGAGAGAGAGACAGTTTACCAGCAAACCACCAAGTAGCCATAACAGATTGTAGTGAAAATATCTTACTTCTGCAACTTTTCACAAAAACCCAAGACCATTGCTAGAGCATCTTCCAGGGCCTCAGAAGTGGCGCATAAGCAAACAAGAGGTCTTGAAACTTGTTTCATCTACTTCATTGTAAATGTACCTCTGTTATCTAATCATGCAAAAAAAAATAATCACAATTTGTCTTAGACTTACTCTATCCTGTACAACGCAGGCCCAGTTTTGCACTGGTTTTGCAAATTGAAAAGTTTTTTTTTAATTTATCACTATTACTATAAGCAAAGAAAAACAAATTGAGACTAACTTGAGATACCATTTCCCACCATTTCTCTTTTCATCCCTCTCCCTCTCTATAGAAGCTCTATCCATTGCTGGTAAACTGCTGTTGAGGAACCACTGATTTTTTGCCAGTGGTGGTGTAAATAGGGACAACCTTTTAGAAAATGATATTGCAATATATGGCAAGTACCATAAGCATGCTTTTGTCTTTCAAACCATGATTTCCACAGGTAAAAGTTAATAGGAAATAACTCAAAAGAAACAGAATAAATGCAAAACTGTTAATGGCTGCCATTTGCCATTAGCAAAAAGTTGGAACCTTAATGTCCACATCAGAGAAGAGGTTTAATGATGTGATATCAAAAAAGATAAAATAGGGGCACCTGGGTGGCTCAGTTGGTTAGGCATCTGACTCTGGATTTCAGCTCAGATCATGATCTCACCATTTGTGAGCTTGAGCCCCACATGGGGCTCTATGCTGACAGCATGGAGCCTGCTTGGGATTCTCTAGCTCACTCTCTTTGCCCCTCCCCAACTTGTACCTGCCCATGCTCTCTCCCTCTCAAAAATAAATAAATAAGCATTTTTTACAAAAGATAAATTAATTGGGAAAACTCAGGACATGGAACTTGGGATATTTTATAAAGTTAAAATGGCAGAAGGAAAACTGAGAGGCACACTTAATTGCAACTGTATATTAAATAGCAATGCTATGGGGGCGCCTAGGTGGCTCAGTCGGTTGGGTGTCCGACTTCAGCTCAGGTCACGATCTCGCTGTCCATGAGTTCGAGCCCCGCGTCGGGCTCTGGGCTGATGGCTCAGAGCCTGGAGCCTGCTTCCGATTCTGTGTCTCCCTCTCTCTCTGCCCCTCCCCCATTCATGCTCTGTCTCTCTCTGTCCCAGGAATAAATAAACGTTAAAAAAAAATTTTTTTTTTAAATAATTAAATAAATAAATAGCAATGCTATGTAAAATGGAGTATATTTTCTCCAGATGATAGCATTATAGATTCTTTTTGCTTACAATTCGTTCTCTTTAACACTATATCGGGAGACATTACAACATCAGGTAGAGTCAGATTTAGGATCTGATTCTTACACTACTAATTTTATGTGACCATCAGCTGGTTACTGAAACCTTAATTTTTTCCTCTATAAAACAAAAATGCTGGGGTGCCTGGGTGGCTCAATCAGTTAAGCATTCGACTTCGGCTCAGGTCAGGATCTCACCATTCCCGAGTTCGAGCCCCATGTCAGACTCTGTGCTGACAGCTCAGAGCCTGGAGCCTGTTTCTGTGTCTCCCTCTCTCTCTGCCCCTCCCCCGCTCACTCTCTCTCTCTCCCTCTCTCTCGCTGTCTCACTCTCTCTCAAAAATAAATAAACATTAAAAAAATTTTAAATGCTTATACTTACCTAAGGAACAATTGTGCAATTTAATTGAAATAACACATATACAGTGCCATTAAGATGCCAACACCTAAAAGGCATTTAACAAATAGCTATTATGCTTACTGTATTTATACAATAGTCTTAACCATTACACTCATCTTCCTAATAACTATACAAGGTAGAGTATGTTAAGAAATTGCTAGTTGCCTACTGCTACATTAATTCTCCCCCTTCTTCTTGTAACGGAATGTGAATTTTTAGCTGGCCACATTGACAGACAGGAAAAGACTATATTTCCCAGCCTCCTTTGCACCAAGGTTTAGCCAAACGACTCATTTCTGACACACAAAATGCAAGCAGTAGTATTGGAGGAGACTTACAGGAAAGCTGCTTAATGAAATCGGATACATATGGAAGGGGACTGGTTTGTTGTTGTTGTTGTTGTTGTTGTTTCCTTTTTGTCTTTTCTCTCTTTCTTCCTGCAACACAGATGTGGTGACCAAGGCTCCAACAACCATCTTGGATTATAAGATAACTGTGAAGAAGAAAGCCATGCAAGGAGATGGTGGAAGAGAATGGTAAGAGCCTTGGTCCCTAACATCTATGAAGCTACTGTACCAGCCCAAGCTATTTGTCTACTCTCCAAGAAACCTTTCTTTTATAAACTAGACTTTTTTTTATCTAGAGAGGAAAACGACCAGCCAACCAGATTCTACTCTGGCATGCCTGCCAGATATATTTCTCATTGCACTCAATAAATTAGGACTCTGATTCCAATAGCAGTATGAATTTGTTAGCATAAACCCGGTTATCTTTGGGTTTATTAACAAAACCAGCTTTATGGCCGTGCGGAGTTTCTGAGCCTAAGTCATGTTGTTTATGTGCAGCTGTGGAGGGAGGATTGTCTGCCAGCTGAAAATAGGCAAGGAAATGAGGGGTGCTGCATGTGCCCTTGACGTCCCACAAGGATTCCAGGTGATATGAGTAGATATACGACCCCTCTGGTCAGGTAGCTCATGGTGCCCAAGCTCAAATCATTTTCCCAGGCAGGTGAGCTGCAAAGCCCCTCTCTTGACTTACTTGCTTGTTAAAAGGTATAGGGGCCTTCTAATTCAAAAGGTTCCGGGTTCGGGTCCTGGCGGAGTCGCCAAAAAAAAAAAAAAAGGTATAGGGGCAGTGGGGCAGGCCCCTCTCCTAGAGCACAGCCCATTACATGTACCGCTGCTCCTGGACAAAGCACAGCTCTCTGGGATGGCATCTGCTGACCCTGTGCCAGTGAGGTGTACCTGTGCTGTGGGAACCACATGGTGTTTGTTGAGACCTTTGCTTAAAGGCAATGATTCTGGGGCTGGAACTAATTGAATCAACACACAGTGGGAGAAATATTTTGACTTAATTATAAACTCACATCCCTTCTAAAGCAAGAATGAATGACACCCAGAAAATCAGGAGGCAGAGAGAGAAAATGAAATGGATCTAACATTGTTCAAGGGAGAGACAGGGGAGAACTACTCACTACTGAGATATGGTCCCTAAATAGATACAAATACATACAGGCATTAGGTTTTCCTGTTGTTGGGGAGAAATGACTACTTAAATAATTCATGACGACACTTGACATTATTTCGGCTGCCTGGTATCTGACATGTTGGGGGATTTCTCACATTCTTTTCTTTTTAATGTGTATTTATTTATTTTGAGATACAGTGCATGTGTGAAAAGGGGAAGGGCAGAGAGAGAGGGAGATGGAATCCTAAGCAGGCTCTGTGCTGACACGGGGCTCAAACTCACAAACATGAGATCATGACCTGAGCCAAAACCAAGAGTCAGATGCTTAACTGACCAAGCCACCCAAGCGCCCCTGGAGCATCTCACATTCTGAGTTTGTGGGGAGGCAGACCAACTACCACTTTATTTTTAAAAAAATTTTTAATGTTTATTGGGGGGGGAGGGGCAGAGACAGAGGGGTCCAGGGGGTCCGAAGCAGGCTCCGTGCTGACAGTAGAGAGCCTAATGCAGGGCTCGAACTCAGGAGCCACGAGATCATGACCTGAGCCCAAGTCAGACGCCTAACCAACCCAGCCACCCAGACGACCCCCACCTATCACTTTAGAAGCTGAAAATGCTTTGGTCCAGGCAACTCTGCCAGCTACCACACTAACAGTCTTACGCTTGGCCACCTCCACAAGGGACTTTGAATTTGGAACTAGTGTCACAAAAAACAGGGACATTCTCCATGTCACTGGCCGCAGCTTCCCACTTCCTGCTGGGCAGCAATGGCTTCAGAACTGCTGCGAAGGCCAGTGTCCAGGCCACCTGCAATGGCTGAAATGACCCGGGTGCCTTCCACCAAATTGCTCAGAGGTGTGATTTTTACCGGTGATTTCAGCTTCAGAGTGTCCCTTTGTGCCTACCCGCTTCGGCTTGCCTCCTCTGGCTTCCTGGAGATTCTGTGAGTCTCTAATACCCTCTCACAACCCCCTTCTCTTCCTTCTCCCCCATCTCCCCTCCTCTTTCTTCTCTGCCTCCTTTTTTCTCAAATCAGCCAAAGTCTCTTTCTGCTGCTT